ATGCCACGGCACCAACAAAATCCAGAGGTGCCTCTATCCTGTCAGCAGGCAAACAAAATTTTAACCACAACACCTCGAAGTTGATACAAATGGCAGATACGTCCTAATACAGGGCAAAATAAATGATATGCACTACACAAAAATAAACATATATACGCCCAACACAAACCAACGAAATTTCCTCCAGAGCATCCTCAAAAAAAATAAGCATTATACAACAGGGAATCACAATAATCTGCAGGGATTATAATCACATTTGGGATCCCAAATTAGATACCACATTACCACAACACAGGTGCAGACAGCGCCCACTAAAAAGACAATGCAAAGCCCTGCAGAAACTCTTACATGAATATCATTTTTATGATGCATGGAGAATCTCACACCCGGGGGATAAATCATTCACCCATTTCTCCAATGTCCATAACTCCTACTCCCAAATAGATGGGTTTCTTATTTCGGGAACACACTTAAACCAAATACACGCTTGTGAAATCCAACAAATCACATGGTCCGACCATGCCCCAGTGACCCTTGACGTGAAAAACTTGTATGACTTTAAACACCGCAGTCCCTGGAAGCTAAACGACACCTTACTCCAAAACAAAGAACGTACAGAAGAATTCACAGCCGATCTCATACCTCAAGAAACAGGTACAGGCCAAATTAAAAGCATGGCAACAGGGACTATATGATCTAAACACGAGTAACCAAACACAACGGACAGCAGAAAAAAAACATTGCATCACGACCATCTCTAGACTGATACACCAACAAGCACTAGAACAAACACAAAGCAACATGACTAAACTCAAAATATCCCAGTACATGCAGGGAAATAAAGCGACAAAACTCCTAGCTAACCAACTGAAACAGAAACAGACTAACCAAAAAATAGGCTAACAGACAACAAAGAACAAAAATGCACCACACCCAGAGAAATAAGTGAAGAATTTGCAAAATACTATCACTCCCTGTACAACCTAAAAGGGGACCAAAGCACAACTCAACCCACAGACGCAAGCACAAAGGCCTACCTAGACAAAATTAAGCTACCACAACTCACACCTCAACAACAGACGGACTTAACCAAACCAGTAGAAGTACAGGAGATTCTTAAAGTCATACATACACTATCAAACAGCAAAGAACCAGGCCCAGATGGTCTAACAAACCTATACTACAAAAAATTCAGCCATACACTAGCACCATACCTAACAATGGCATTCAATCATGCCATAACTACGAAATCTCTGCATAAAGAGATTATGTTGGCGCACATCATCACACTGCCCAAACCCAACACACCACCCACGACCCCGCAAAATTTTAGACCCATCTCACTCTTAAACACAGACGCGAAAATATTCGCCATACTACATGCCACAAGACTGGGACAAATCATACCACACATAATTCACACAGACCAAGTTTGCTTTGTGAGGGGGAGGCAAGGGGCGGACAACACGAGGAAAGCCATAAACCTGTTATATAAACTACAGACACAAAAAATGGGAGGCGAATTTCTCTCCTTAGACGCTGAAAAAGCCTTTGATAGATTACATTGGGGCTTCCTAAAGGCGGTCTTAGGAAAATTCGGAATACCTGAAAAATTTGGAGCAGTAGTACAGTTCACCCAAGGCACAAGTGCTAAACTCGGGGTTTCTATCAGAGCACGTACCTAAACAAGCTGCAACGCCTATTCACATCATTTGTTTGGGCACACAAAAAAAATAAGGGTGGCCGCCGCAATTCTGAGCAAACCCATAAACCAAGGGGGCCTGGGTCTACCAGACGTACGCCTCTACTACAGGGCTGCCCTCATGTCCACAAACACAAAGAACTGCTCACGACCACCTCCCTACTCCTAGACATATGGGATTCAACGACGCAACTCTTAGGCCAGAAAAAACATTGGGCTTTGTCAACCCCACTACAAAGCCTACACATTGTAAACCCCTCTTTAGACCACCGCCCATGGACCCAGCAATGATGCACACATATCAAACACCTATATCAAGAGGGCAAACTAGAACCATACCCCACGCTGAAACTGAAATATCGACTGCCCAACAACACTTTATTTACATACCTCCAGATAAAATTACTCCTGGAGAACTAAACCAACACAACCACACCTAAGCCCCTGGAACAAATATACAAAATATGCGACACAGGGAAAGTCCCCAAAAAAACACTCTCCATACTATACACAACTTTGAATGATAACCCCAAAATAATTCCAGTGGAAAACTTTAAAGAACAATGGCAAACGGACCTACACAAACACTTCACTGACAGCCAATGGCAAAGAGTCTTCACCGCCCACAAAGGGAGATCTAGGTGCGCATCACACCTGGAGCTCCTGAGGAAACTACAGTACAGGTGGTACATGGTGCCGGCTAGACTGGCGCACATGTATCCACAAGCATCCAAAGTATGCTGGAGATGTAAGTTAGAGGAGGGGACCATGTACCACATATGGTGGACATGCAGCCAGTTAAAACCATTCTGGAAAGAGGTAGGAGAAATTGTTGAGAATGCACTAAACACAGATACGCCCCTACAACCCGAATAAGGGTTGCTGTTTATGACACTAGAGTCGCACAAAAAACCACAAGCGATACTACTATTCCATATACTAATAGCAGCAAACACACTGATCGCAAGGGTCTGGAAGCAGACCACCATACCTGGAAAAAACGAATTACTGTCTCAAATCTCCACTAACCTAATGTAAGAGACAAAACTGAACGTCCAATTTGGGGCATCCACACACGCAATCAGAGCCAGAGAACGGTGGGAAGAGGTTTTAAAGGAGCATGAGTTACACGAGTTAAACGAGTTATAAAGATTTAAAGCATGAAGACACACAGGAGGAGCGGCAGCGGGACGAGGGGTGGAAGCAAATGAGAAACAAAACAAGTATTAACCACAGGGACACAACACAGGAAAAAACCAGAGGAGACATACACACACACACACAACCACACGCGCAAGAATGTAGAGAGAGAGAGAGAGAAAAATGACGAAGCGGTACCAGTATGTAAATAGTTAGGGCAGGACGAGCAAATGCAGTGGACAATACAGAACACGAAGCAAACCTACACAACACCCAAAAGGGCTTAACAAGGCCGGGGAACCCATGTTCTGTTGGTTCAAAGAAAATATGACTACCACACATGAAATGCTATATCTCTGCTAAGTTGTAACCCCTTCCTTGGGGAATCTGAATATACAATGTAAAAGTTATTGTACATAAGTGCGAGTTAAACGATTCCCCTCCCCCTTCTTCTATTCTGTACCCCAAAACATGAAAATGTTTAATAAAAAAAAAAAAAGACCGACCGCGTTGGAGTTAACAACCGAAAAGGGTTCCATACATTTTGGCCCTGCGGTCGGTCACAGTAAAGGGAATGAAACACACGAATGGCTTGGGTTATGAGAACTGGGGAGGATTCAGGTAAATCCCCATGTTCGTGGGGTTCTTTCTACTGTTTGGTAGTTCTTACACAAATTGGCAGCAGTATGGAGGTCTCAGCAGTGTTTGCCTAACCGAGTGTCTGATTTGGGTTCCAGACACTCGACGGCAAAACACCGCTGTTCGGGAGTTTAAGATGGCCGCCGCCACGCGTTCATCTCCCGAATTGCGGCCACACAGAGGACAAAGTACACACTGCATGAATTGCCAATTACCCGTTTGCAACATTGTTGCAAATGGTAATTGGAGGCACACTTATTCCTGGGGTGGTCTGATCGTTCGGTAGTTTCACTCGCATAATAACTGGAGTGATTTTACCGAACAATCAGTCGAATGCTGCATACACTTGACATACACATGACAAAATTAAACCGAAAACATATGAATATACATAATTCTGAGGACAGAACAATGCCAAGTGCTACTCCCTTCCCTGGAACTCACACTGCTGCTGGGAAGTGAGTAAGATACTCTCCTCTCTCTTAAGGCCCAACTGCTGCTGGGGAGATGTCTGAGTGGGGTTGGAGGAGAGGACAAATGTCCTGTTTTAGTAGTTTTGGAGAGCGGCCAGCTGCACTCTGTCCCGCTGCCGGCACTTCAGCTGGGGTGTGGTTAGCTCCTCGGGCTCATCCACCAATCTAGAGCTCTCCCCCACTCTCACAATTGCAGCAAGTTGGGGGCAAAGGACAGTAGCTGTTGGGGGCTGGAGTGGTGGCTGTAAGTTCGGTGGCTGATACTCAAGCATCCTGCGCCACCGACTGTTGTAGACAGAGTCTAGCAACACTCAACATTCTGATCTGCTGCAAGCTCTTCTGCTGGTGTTGCACTCTGCCACTGAGGAGTGAGGCCAACTACAACTACCTCCGCTCCCTTGGTTGAGATCTGCCGCTGGGGAGGGAGGCTGGCTACCTCTGATTAAATCGGTGGGCACCTCCTCCCAGATTAGTTGCACCATCTCTGCTTTTGAGCTGTTGCAACGTTCCTTTCGCTGGAGTCCTCCATCCACAGTCTCTGACATCACCTTGGCTAACTGAAGCTTAAATTCTCTCCTGGCTTGTAAAACAGCAGCCACTTGGGTCGTGACTGCACTAATGGTCTCCACCGAAATATCAGGGCCAAAAAAGGACAGTTGCAGTCGCACCTCAGAAAGGAACTCTGAGTAAAAGTCATAGGACGCCATGCTTGACTGGTCCAACTCTGCGGGCACTCACTTCCAGAAGGCATGCTATGATCCAAGGGATGTTTCCTCATTCACTAGGAAGCTATCCCACCTCTGCCACCAAATGTGACAGAGCTCCCTGTGATAAACATAATACAATTCAAATAACAAAAACAAAACATACAGGAAATGATAATAGCATAATAACATATTTATAAAGGGATGGGGAAGACCATAACCAGCACAAAATATCTCTCCTGCCTGCATAATTTGCAATATGCAAATCTACCTGAATATGCAAATTCACCAGCCTTGCTATTCAGGTAGTGCAAATTGCTGTTGCTACAAACAGAGGGCACTACAAAGGCTCCATAGCTGAGTCCACCTTATTAGTAGCAATCTTCAGCAGTACAGGAGAGCAGGCAAAACATATAACACACACATTATAAACATCCTGTACCTATAATGAGCACATATCTCCCTCAAAGGTAGACTAACCAGGTACCAGACCTCTAATCAGTCTGTGTCTGAGTTAGTCTGGCAACCCTCCCCAAAAGTCCGGCCAACCTTGTAGTCTCTTGAACAAAGTTCCATTCTTTAAATTCATTGTCTCGTTGGGGAAGAATTCTGACAATCTCTACTCCCTGTAACCCAAGCTGCTGCTGGGGATAGATACCTGCTGTTCCCACTCCCAGTAACTCACCCTGCCACTGTGGAGAGGGATCTGTTTCCTCAGCTCCTGGTAACTCCGACTGCAATTTTAGTTGGAGACCAGCTGACTCTACTCTCAGTAGTTCCAATTGCCGCTGAGGAAGGGGACTGACTGTTCCCACTTCCAGTAACTTGACCTGTCACTGGGGAGGCAGACCAGTTGTCTCCACTCCCTGTAACTCTGCTGGCCACTGGGAAGAGAGACCAGTTGTCCCCTCTCCCTGTAACAAGTATGCTGCTGGGGAGGGAGACCAACTGTCTCCACTCCCAGTAACTCTGCTGGCTGCTGGGGAGAGAGACCAACCATTTCTGCTCCCTGACAAACCAATTGCCGATGGCAAGGGAGATCAGCTATCTCCACAACTTGTGCTCTACCCTGCTGCTGGGGAGGGGGACTGACCGTCCCTGCTTCCGGTGAGACCTACTGCTGCTGGGGAAGAGGACTGACTGTCTCTGCTCCCTGTAAAACAAACTGCCACTGGGTAGGTAGTGGAGTGGCCAGGGTCCCCCTGCCACTGGGAGGAGAAGATGGGCCGGCTGTCCAGCATCCCTGTGATTCAGATGTGGAGAACACGAGTCCTTCCAAACCTACCTTGTCAAAATCCTCAGATGTACAGTCAATTAAATCGGTGGGCACATGCTCCCAGATTAGTTGCACCACCTCCGCTGTTTGGCCCTTGCAACATTACTTTCGCTGGAGTACTCCACCCACAGTCTCTGAAATCACCTTGGCCAACTGAAGCTTGTATTCTCTCCTGGCTTGTAAAACAGTAACCCCTTGGGTCATGAACAGTGCTAAAAAAGTGCAGGGTTAAATGCTCATGGCACATTTTGGTACTGACTACGTGTACCTTTGTCAAACACTTTGCATTTCTGTGGAGGCAATGGACCAGACTATGTCACTAATGACAGCCCACAGTTTAAATAGGCAATTGGATCCACCCTTGTGAGCATGTGTTACTTTGTGTCTTTATATTACACAGGAGACACATAGTAACCACCTTCTAAGAGACTGCATCTTCATCCCTGACAGAATAAGTGTTGGTATTCAAATGCAGTTTTTATGTTGGAATCCTCTAGTCTAGGTTTGATTTCTTTTTTATTGTTGTACTTTAGAACATACATTGGGTTACTTATATATATATATATATATATATATATATATATATATATATATATATATATATATATATATATATATATATATATTATTTATTTTTATATATATATATATATATATATATATTTATTTATTTTTTAAATTATTATTTATTTTTGAAGTGTAAATATAGATATATCCAACAAGTAACATTTTGTTGTTTTAGGAAGTAGTCAAAACAAAGATAGCACAGTACTTAGGGATTGCAGTAATAGAGGTTAGGAGACTAGCTTACAGTGGCGGATCCAGAGCCTGATCTCGGGAGGGGCACTTGTAGATTATTTAAAGAAATAATCCAGACACAATAACTACTACAGCTCAGTAGACCCCCTCCTAGAGTAAGTAGTCAAACCGTTTAAGAACAGTTTGACAACTTACCTGAGGTCTGCTGGGAAATGGGGCGGTAGTAGGGCATTGGAGCAGTGGTGTGTGTGAGTGGTGCAATGTGTAAGGGGTGCAGTGTGTGTGTGTGAGGGGGACAGTGTGTGAGCAGTGTGTGTGTGTGTGTGTGAAGGTTGTAGTGTGTGAGTAGGGGGGCAGTGTATGTCAGGGATGCAGTGTATGTGTGGGACAGTATGTGTGTGTAACAGTTGCAGTGTGTGTGTGAATGTGGGCAATGTGTGTGTATGGGGCGGCAGTGTATGGGGCAGTGTGTGTGTATGGGGGGCAGTATGTGTGTATGATGGTGCATGTATATGTGTGTATGAGGGCAGTATGTGTATGGGGGGCAGTATGTGTATGGGGGGGGCATGGGGCAGTATGTGTGTGTAAGTATGTGTGGGGGGGCATGGGGCAGTATGTGTATGGGGGCAGTATGTGTGTGGGGGGCAGTATGGGGGGTATGTATGGGGCAGCATGTGTGTATGGGGGGGCAAGCATGGGGGCAGTATGTGTGTGTATGGGGGCAGTATGTGTATGGGGCAGTATGTGTGTATGGGGGGGGCAGCATCTGTGTATGGGGGGGCAGCATGGGGATATGTGTATGGGGCAGTATGTGTATGGGGTGGCAGCATGGGGGCAGTATGTGTGTATGGGGGGCGCATGGGGGCAGTATGTGTGTATGGGGGGGCAGCATAAAGGTGTATGTGTGTATGGGGGGACAGCATGGGGGGCAGTATGTGTGTATGGGGTGGCATCATGGGGGGCAGTATGTGTGTATGGGGTGGCAGCATGGGGGCTATGTGTGTGTGTGTGTGTTAAGGGTAGGGGGGCTTTTTTTAATAATATATATCTTTATTTAATTTAAAAAAAAAAATCCTATGTCCCCCCTCCCTTCTTACCTTTACTGGGGAGGAGGGGGGACATATTTTCATCCCTGGTGGTCCCAGTGGTGATTCCCTGGTGGTCCCAGTGGTTACAGTGAACTCTAACCCGCGCTCCAGGGCTAGAGTTCACTCTCGCAAGATTTGGAGCTCACGAGAGGAGGACCCGGAGGAGCTGCAGGCTGAGCTCCGGGTCCTCTCTCACTCCCTCTCCCTCCACCGCCGGCTGCCAGCACAGTGCCTGCGGACTGGGGAGGGAGATCTCTGATCTTCCTCTCCGGTCCGCAGGCACATTGCAGGGCTAGCACCTGCATGTCCTGGTAGGGGAGGGAGAGGGAGACCGGCGGATTTCTCGGGGGGGGCAATTGCCCCGTTGCCCCCCCCCTGGATCCGCCAGTGCTAGCTTAACACATGCACTGGTAGCAGAAAGGTAAGTGTAGGTGTGAGATGCACGCTAAACATTATTGTATGAAAAGTACCACACTTAAAAATCAAGGTAGAGCATGCAACATTAACTGAAGACCCATAGGTTCCTCAGACACTCAAGGGACAGGGAGAAAGACACAAAGGGCCACTATGATTATGGCAAACTGAAGAGGTTCCCCCAGTCCCGAGATAAAAATAGACTGAGGGACTGGGCACTCAAATGGCAGATGAAATTTAATGTTGAAAAATGCAAAGTTATGCACTTTGGCGTACAAAATGCACAAGCAATGTATACCCTTAATGGAAGCAAATTCGGGATAACAACACACGAAAAGGACTTGAGAATTGTTATAGACAACAAACTTTGCAACAATGTGCAATGTCAATCAGCAGTGGCTAAGGCTAGTAAGGTATTGTCATGCGTGAAAAAGGGCATTCATTCTCGGGATGAGAATATCAGTTTGCCTCTTTCTAAATCGCTGGTAAAACCACATATAGGTGCAATTTTGGGCACCTGTTCTAAAGAAGGATATTATGACACTAGAATAAGTGCAAAAGCGGCTACAAAATTAATAAAAGGAATGGCACATATCAGCAATGAAGAAAGGTTCACAAATTTAAACCTCTTTAGTTTAGAAAAACGTCGCCTGAGAGGGGATATGATAACATTATACAAATATATTCCGGGTTAATACAAACCATTGTGTGGAAATCTATTCACAAACCGGACTTTACATAGGGCATGAGGTCATGCGTTTAAACTGGAAGAAAGAACATTTCGTCTGTGACGGACCGCTGGCACTGGTCTCGCCATCTCCACCCACCTTGGACCCAAGGCCAGGATCCAGCTTTCAATGGATGAACCTCTCTTTCCCCAGAGAGCGTAACAGGAACAGATCAGCTCTTACAAGAGCTCAGTGATTATAGCAAGAGAATATGACAAGCATAGCAATCCCTTGTAGCAGATTCCCCCAATAAGAGACAGGACACAGATTGAGGGTGAAGAAGAACCTGAAGCTTTTAATGAAACACTCTGCTTTTATGCCCATTCTACATAGTACCGCCCACAGAGTTTTGTAAAACAACCAATAAAATACGTACATTATAGTAAAACACTGCCAGCAATTACACACAAATCCTCCCCGCTGCCTGTGATATAATTACTGAACACAATGGGTTAAAAAAATACACTTTTTACACATGTACTGTAACTTTAAGAATATACATTCAATCTTCATAAAAGTTGCATATTAATACTCAGCACACTTTAATTACACACATATCCAAAATTCAGCCAATTCCTTCCAGGGGTTAAAAAGTTAGCTAGAAGTCCTTTATCACCAACCGCAAGCACATTTCCATAGATTTGGGCTGTGCGGTCGGTCTATTTCATAATGAAAAAAATAACTAAGTCCCATCGCCGAACGGGACTTAGTCTATGCGGCTGCAAACTCAGTGGAGGAGAAGGTAAGGGTCAGCGGTGTTCATTGAAATGTGTAGCTGATTTAGGTTCCATGGATTTGGTTACACACACCTCTGACCGCGTTCTGCCACCCAGCGGTTGGCAATTTACCTACAGCAAGCACCCAGCCTGGGAGGTAAATTGCCTGCATGCTTCCACTTCTGGGTGGTCCGCCTGTGTAATACTTGGTTCAGTAAGCCCCATTTACTGAACCAAGTGTGAGAAAGACAGGAACACAGTATATTAAATGTTTGAGGACACTGGGGACACGGTCTTAAAAGGGCATTGTCCTAAAAAGTCTCAATATGCCCACATACAGTTCTTAAAGGGCCATACACAGTCCAATAGAAGTCCATACACTGTGCTTAAAGGGCCAGTAGCAGCACAATAAAAATCCATTATGCCCAATACTGTATTTAAAAGGCCAAACCTCCCAGGGACCATAATCACATGGCAAGAGGCTGGCAAGTAGTCCTCTCCAGGCACAAGTGGCGATGTTAATTTTGCTACATCGTCTAGGGCAAAGAAAAGGTTTTTTTTTTACTGTAAGAACAATAAGGATGTGGAATTCTCTGCCTGAAGAAGTGGTTTTATCAGAGTCCATACAGATGTTCAAACAGCAACTAGAAGCATACTTGCAAAAACAGAATATTCAAGGATATAATTTTTCAATGTAGGGTAATAGCTGCTTGATCCAAGGATAAATCTGACTGCCATTCTGGGGTCAAGAAGGAAATTGTTTTCCTAGTTTGTTGCAAAATTGGAAGTGCTATAAACTGTTTTTTTTTTTTTGCCTTATTTTGGATCAACAGCAAAAAACAAATGTGAGGAAGGCTGAACTTGAGCTTTGTAACTATGTAAATCAGCAGACAGGGCACAGTACCACACATCAGAAGCGTGGATGCCATCGATATCTCGTACAATTGGTACACAGCCAGATCATCACCAAATCCTTTCTGGCAAACCTATAAGCAGAGTGGCATGTTAGGACACGATTACTATGTCACTTGATGCCGTTGAGTATCCTCAGCACTCTTTATGCCAGTTCAGGTACTCGTAGAT